GGGGTGTCTCCCGCCGCACGCGCGCTTGGTCACGTGTGCCGGCCAGTGGCGGCTTCCGAACCCGGAAGGGCGGAAAGAGACCGGCTCTGACCCGCTGGGGGGGTCGCCTGGGCAGAGGGATCCCCCAAGATGTTGTCCCCCATTCGGCCGCGGTTCCGGTGTCTGAGATCCTACTGGATGGGCACCAAGGATCCAGGAGGCCCTAAGTGGTCTCGGAGACCGCTCTGAGTTAACACGGCCCCTGCCCTGGGACCAGCCTGGAATGGCCCGGCGGAGGACGCCGCATAGGGTGACGGTTAGGCCGAGGCTGGTTCAAAGCCCGGAAGATAAGGACGCAGAGCCAGGCCTTCCGCCTCCCTGCAGATGGTCCAGGCTGTGCGGGGGAGGCGGGGGAGGCAGAGGAGACGGGACAGTGGACAGTCAGTGCTACCCGAGTGGCGCTATTAAGTGGCAGAGTAAAAGAGGTTTGGGCCAGGGCGTGCAAGCCCAAAGGTTGGCCGTTTCAGAGATGATACGTCTGAGAGTATAACACTGGACAGAAGAAAAACACCTTGTTCTCTGTATTTAGTTTTGAGATTTAGTATAGAAAATGCAGGATATTCTTTGATATATAGTTATACCGTGATATATGGTTTACCCAGTAATCCATATTTTTATAGTGTTTATTGGAAATCATTACAGGGCACTCTCAAGAATTTTTTTCGTTTTTTTTCCTGTACCGGGAATTGAACTCACGACCTCGCGCTTGCCAGGCAGGCGCTATGCTGCTGAGCTAAATCCCCAGCCCCTTCAAGAATGTTTTTTGCATGTATGCTTAGCACCCCTTCTCTTTTTGTAAGGAGTTACATATGCATGAAAATGTGGATTTTAAGTGTGCAACTCACTCAGCTTTTAATGTATCATGCCAGAGCCAAGAAGTAGAACTTCCCTGCATGCCTCCTCCAGATTTCCCAAGTTGTCGCCTCCTCCAGATTTCCCAAGTTGTCGCTCTGCTGACCTATATTACCAGAAATTAGTTTTGCCTCTTTGGAGACCACTGTATCCCTTTGTGGCTGGCGTCTTTTAGGCAACATATCTGTCAGATTGGTCTGTGTTGTGTATAGGAGTGGTTTGGTTTATTGGTTGGTTGCATTTTCATTGCTGCTTTTTGTTCATTGTGTGAATATCCATAGTATTTTCTCTTTTTCTGCAGAGGATGACATTTCGATTGTTTTGGGTTGGTAACTTGAGTTACACTCCTAAGATCATTCGTTTGAAGCTTTTCATGGACTCACTTATTTCTCAGGGTTATATAGTGGGACATGAAATGCCTGGTCCTGTTTGTATATTTAACTTTAGTTGCCACCACCACATGATTTTCCAAAGTGGTTGTACCAGGTACTGTATAATCCCACCAGGAGTGCATGAGAGTTCTAGTTGCTCCACATTCACAATCAACGTTTAGATGGTAAAGCAGCTAATGAGAAATTCAAGGTTTTGGAAGAGTCTAGCAAGGGTTAGCTGTATAATATGCTTTTCATTGCAAATAGAACAATCCAAAAAAGCTTTTTTGTCAGTACGATTAGATTTTCAAAATAGGACCTCTAATCATTCTTTGGGAATTGAGTGCATTGTTATTATTCTGATATACACATTAGCTGATGATCATTTGAGTTTTTTTAATTTTGTTCTCTTTAATCAATATTGGCATCTTTATTCTTAAGAGGGTGTTTGTATATTAATTGTATAAAACCCAAAAGCCCTCAAAGGAATTAATATTGAATGCATCCCTGAAAATTGTAGGTTTATTATGTGTACTGGAGTGGTGAGAAGAATTTCAGCGCAGTTACTAGGCAAAGCTGACACATTCTGTCTCCTTTGAAGTCTTGAGGAGGATGAGCAGCCGGTAGGGCACTGTAGCACTGTGTGGTTATGCAAGGGTTCTGCAACAATTAAAGCTGAGGATTCCTTCCTTCTCTGCTTCCAACTGGCCTTTAGTGCCATCTGCAGGCTCTGAAGGTACAAACACCGTTTGATGGCTACTTACTGTGGTTTTTAAATTTAGGACATCAGTCATCCGAAGGGGGGCCCCACCCCCACAGGTTCAGAGTTAGTGTGTCCTGGGCTGGACCCTGGGAATGTGCATTTCTAACAAGTTCCCAAACACTGCTGCGCCTAGACTGGAGGTCTTTTATGGGAACCACGGCAGGGAGGACCAAACCGTTGAGGATGAGGTTGAGACACAGGATTACCACCCTTAGGGTTAGCTGTTTTTTGTGGAGGGCCAGAGTTTACATGGCCAGGAAGTGCATGAAAGTCAGAGAATGAGGCCTGCCTTCACAGTGTGTGCTGTTTTCCCAACAAATGAGAAATTAAGGCCAGTTGTCCATTCAAGAGCAGGAGATTGTATAGTGTCAGCTGAGTAAGCACAACTACAGTGAAGATGAGCCTTTCATAAAGAAAACATTATATAAAAATGTTCAAGAGTGGTGGAGGCAGTCTGTATTCGGTTTTAGGAAACTTCTAGAATCTGGACAGTTCACTCTGTGCTGAATAGTGAGCACATTATCCAACGGGCCAAAGAACTTTAAAAAGATTTATCCATGTCAGTGCATACCCACCTAATCCACGCAGTGATACCTTTTTCCAACAATTGATTCATAGTGCTTTCAAGTTGTACATCACAGCACTATGTGGTATTATGAAAGATATATTTAAAAGTTAGATTTAGGTCAGTTTTCCTCTAGTTTGCAGTTTTGTTTGGAGAAGCTGAACATCCCAGATAAACAAAAACTGGAGCTTGGAAGGGTTGCTTCAGAGACATTCATTTTCATAGGCAGGTGGAGACAGAATGGCTTCCCATTTCAGCAAGGTAAGCACTCCTTTCAGTTTAGAATGGTCTGAAATGTTTCTCTAAAATGACCTGGGAATACTAAGCTATTTGCTGTGTTGGTTACTCCAAGAGATCATTAGCATCTGTACTTTTTTGAAATATTCTAGAAGTTTTCATTCCTCTTTATTGCCCTAAAAGTCGATATTTTAGTCATTTTAAAATATTTTTCTCTAATCCAAGTTTTGTACACTTGTCAGTTCTACAAACTGAAATGGACCCGAGTGTGAGGGTCAGCTGGGAACACAGAATATAGGACAGAAGACTTGTGTGTCTTGCTGCTGGGACTGAACCGTTAATGGGATTACCTCCCTGGAAAAGTTGGGAACCATATATTATGTGAAGAAAAGAAAGGAAGGACAAATTACTGAAGGACTGTTACATCTATCCGCATTTAGGCTGATTAATACCTCCCTTAATCAGCCTTATTAAAAGCTGGATTTCAGTTCAGACTTTCTAGACAAGTTTTGCAGTAAAGTTATCCCCCTCCATTTTTTCTATGAAACTATATAATAAAAGGTATTTTATGAAAGACTATATTTGTTATCTTTTTCCTCACAGATGGTGGGTGATGGCCAGTTTCTTAGGGGTAGAAGGGTAGGTTTTTGACAGATAAGAACCTCAAGTATAGTGACAGCTTCTTAGGTGGACAACATGGTGATCATGAATCATAATATCAGCGTTGCCTCTCCAAATGAAAAGCAAAGACAGAAGTAAAAGCATTATATGGATTCATGCTTTAGAGCTATTATCTCATTGAAAGATTTTAAAAATCAGCTTTAAAAGGAAAAAGTAATTTTTAGTGATGTAAAAAATTTATGTTAATGTTGTTCCTTCTGACCATAGTCTCACAGCTTTTTGCACATGTACAAGACACATGTTTGGAGGGGGGAATAAAAGTGACAGTGTAAAGTGTGTGCAGAGGAAGAACTACCAGAGACCTCGTTGACTTTTTAGTGACTGAAAAATCAAAAAACAATTTTTTGCCTCTTTTACAAAACGGTAGGTATGTAGTTCATCTCAGAAGAAAAACTGAAGCAGGGTTTCACCCTTTGTCAGACCTGTTGGTATATATTGATGTTTGTGTTTAGAAATATGTTTGTGGGCTGAATGCTTCCTTCCTTTTAGAAGAGCATATTCACAGGGGAGGAAGCTGACTTTTCACTTGGTATGTGGTGGAGAACCTGGGCAACCCAGCAGACTTGAGACAGCCTCGGAATGAATCTGTTGAGCTCTTTCGAAGAGACGCCATTGACTCCATGGCCCCTGTCAGTAGTAGAGATGCAAGCAGTTTCTCAGTTGTTTGGTGTGCAGTGTTTTTAACATTTTCCCCACATGAATCCTGAGTCTTGCTTTGACTTTGGAAAATATTTTTTAATGGAACCTGGCTAGCCTTTATCAGATGGCTGCTTGAGCTGCTTCCCTGGCTGAGCACATTCTGAAAGGATGGACCCAGTCAGCGTCTGTTGGTATAATCTGGCTGTTTCCCAAGCCTGATCTTGAGGGACCTGAACTAAGTATTTATCCTCCAAGGCAGAAAAAAAGCTTATGAAAGGAAAGTAAGCTGTATTCATAATTTTTTATTTGAATAGCAGAATAGGAACTACATGGACCTGGTATGTCCTCTGAGCTTTAACTATGGTGTTAAAAAACAACTCAGTCAGTGCTCTGTAAAGCCTGGCTTTAATATGCCACCTAAAAGCTAGAGTCATGCTGTTTATTAGCTCTGCATCCTTGGGTAAATTGCTTCCTTATTTCAAAGCCTCTATTCCTCATCTCTGTAGTGGTCTCGTGTGGTTATTGTTCATGGTGACACCTAAACTCTGTCTGACTTCAGGCTCTTAGCTAGGCATGGGTATTCCTTAAATACTTCCTGAAAAAATAGCTCACCTTCAGTTTCTTACTACAGTGTCTTTGTTCACACAGTCCGTTTTCCTTCCCTTCCACCTCTATTCACATTTTACCCTTTCTTTAAGGTGCCATTCAACTTTATTTTCCATAAAGCCAAGCCATTTGCTCAAGACCAACCTCTCTTTCTTTGTAGGCCTGTGACTTCATGTCAGCCTAGCACTCTGTCTTCTTTCTCTTTTTTTACCTGGCAAATTTCTCAGCATGTGTGAGGCCTTGGGTTCCATCTGTATTACTGAGGGGGTGGGGGTAGAGGAAAAGAGAGAGAGAGAGACAGGGGGCAGGGGGAGCGCTGGCAGGCAAGAAGGAAGGAGGAAAGAAAAGAAAGATAGATCAGCAGAAAAAAAAAACTTTAAAAAATAATTCCTTAGCTTTATCCTTAAAAACCAGCTCAAGGTCACTTCCATGAGGAAGTTTTTCCCCAGCGTGGCCCTTCCTGTTGATGTCCCATTCACTTTCTCCTTCACACATTTTCCTCCCACTGTTTTAAGAATAACTTAAAAAAAATTAGAAGGGTAGTACATGCCCAGTAAGGAAAGTTTAGTAGTACAAAGAAGAATAAAGAACAAAATAATTTGTCTGCCATCTTTCCACAAGAAATAACGGGTTTGGAGAAACTCATTTCCAATTCCTTTGTGTATATCACAAAATAAATTTAAGTATTCTTAAATTTTGTCATATTTTTCTATTTCTGCCTTTATTTTATTGTTTACTTTTACTCTTTTTTTTCTTTTTTTTTTTTTTTTGGTACTGGGAATCAGACTCAACCTCAGGCTTGCCAGACAAGCGCCTATGCCACTGAGCTACATCCCCAGCCCTACTTTTACTCTTTATTTAGAATAGCACTAAAGCACTTAAAGGTCTTAGGGTTACAGAAAAGTACTATATGGTACTGTTTATTTCTCCATAGAATTAGAGAAAGACACTTCAATTGATTTAACGAAGAGTGAGAAGGCTGGGTTTCTTCTCTTAATTTGATAAATACACAGTGATATGAACAAAGCTGACAAAGAATTTGTTGAACATTGAAGAGGCATGAGTATATTTATGTTATAACACTCCACAGCCCATGTGGCTCTTGAACTTCCCCAGGTGAGGACTGTGAAGGACAGCAAGAGAAGAAATGAAGACAAGATACAGAAAGCTGAGGAGGCGGTGGAGCCCTTTCTCCTGATGAGAGGAATAGGACTGCAGCCACCAAAGGGCAGTTTATACCTGCACAGGTTGATGTCACGTGACACCCGTCTGCCTAGCAACCTGTTAGCTTGACTTGCCTGGGGCGCATGGTATTCTCTGGACTGGAGCAGCTTGTTCCTGTGGCTTCCCTCCCTGCTCTTTGTTCTCTGGATGGCCTTGCTCTAGCCCCACCTGTCATCAGTCTCCAGCTTCAGCCTTTCCCCACAATAACAAATTAAGTATTCCTTCACACTGTAGACAATACAGGTTTGGAATAGGTTATCTTTACAAGTGATGAAGATTTAAATTACAAATGGTAGCAGGGGAGGTAAAGACATTCACAGAGCTACAAGGGACATGACAACAAGCTAGGCTATTTTGGGAGCCATCAAAACAGGCCCTTTGGAGTGCAGCTTCCTGCACTCTTCCTGTGGTACAGTTGGAATAAACAAGATATCGGTTTGAATGGTTCGCTAAATCTGCTTTAGTATGGAAAGTTTATTTACTGTGGGCTCAATGCACCTGGGCTGTGTTACAAAGCCTGTCTTAAACTTGTTGTTCTAAATATTTCAGTCTTCTAGGAAGGGTTGGTTGTGTGTTGGAGCAGGGTAGTAGGGTATGGAAAGCAGAGCTCGTGAGGACATCGGGAACTTGCAGGAGGCCCAGGGTTTCTGCCTGTCTGACATTTAAAGTCCTCCCCTCAGACCAACTTTTTCTTCTCTGAGTGGAAAACAGGCTGCACTCGAGGCTCAGATCTCCTGGTGTCTGAGAAAACTGCCAGTTCTCTTAACTCCAGTGTGACACTTCCCAAGACAACTTCTGACTGGCCATACACAACCCCACACTCCCCACCTGTAGGCCTGGCCAAGGTGGCAGGATCCACTATAGGAATGCGGAGGGAGAAGAGGAAGGACAGAGGGGGCCCTGAGAGTAGGGAGTGCTTTTCTAGAAGAAGAAAAGGGTACAAGATAGACAGCACAGGAGGCAACTGTCATCATCTTTTGCCATTGGGATTCTGAGCTCTGGCAGAAGCCTTGGCCCCACATGACCTGGCCTGCCCAAGTCCTCTAGCTTGTGCGTAAATGGCAGAAGTTTACTTGTATGGAGAATTGAATTCTGGCTGTTACTTACAGAGTTGTCTCACACTGTCTGGGGGATTGGTTCTAGGAGCCCTGTGGATAACAAAAGAGTGCTCATTTGCTTATAACACAGTCAGTCCTCCCTTATACTTTAAATCATCTCTAATTACTTGTAATCCTAATACAATATAAATGCTGTGTAAATAGTTATATCATTTAGCAAATAACAGGGGGAAAAATCTGTTCATATTCAGTACAGACACAATTTTTTTTCCTGAATATTTTTATTCAGGGTTGCTTGGATCCATGGATACAGAATGTGCAGATATAGAGAGCTGATTTTATTCATCTCTATTTTCCCAAGGTTTATATAATTTTTAGGAAACCCATCTCCCATCTCTGGATCTTCTCGCTCTTACAACATTACAGTACACTTTCATGTAAGTTACTATAGGTGACCCTCACAGTGACTTGGGCAGTGGTTAAGCTTCATTACTGTTTTACATTTGGAAACCACTGGTCAAAAGTCAAATCACCTGTCTGACAGGCAATAGGATTAAGGATTATAGAATCTTCCAGGACCCCTGCTGTATACTTAACGCCATTCTTTTGCCTTAATGGGTAGTATTGCAGGATGATGGGAGAGACCAAGGAGCCAGGAAAGGATGGGGAGGGGTCCCCTCTGCTCTCAGTTTTATGACCGAGGACCAGGCACCCCTCCTTTCTGGATCCAGCTCTGGTTGCTATTGGATACCTCATTTGGACTGTGCTTTCTACCTCCAGAATTTTCTTGCTTCCCAGATATTTCAGACTCTGTTT